AAGCTTTTTAAATGCTCGAGTGGTGTAGTCTTTCAAGGAGTGTCAGGAGACTTTGCTCACAGTGTCATTTCAACTGTTGACAAGAGACGGCCCAGTAAAATATTTTTAAAAAGCATGAAGAGGTGAGAGACAAAAAGGATGGGCAAAAAAAAAGTGGAAGAAAAAAAAAGACATTGAGCACATTGGGAAGAATGATGAGACAGATGACTGAACGCGTTATTAAAGGGATGCACAGGATAGTTGAAGGTTGTAAAAAAGTTAAAGAGCGAAGGATAATGTTTTTATCTTACAGGACATACCACTGGTGCTTTTTACGGCACTGTGAAACACTATCGCTTGACATTCCCGCTGTACATTCAGAACATGTGAGCAAGGGGGCAATTACATTATAGTTTTTAATACTGTGAGGTGCCTCTCCTCATTTCCTCTCTCCGCTTACTGACAACCCCCTGAACATAATGTACACTACATTAAAACGCACATTAATTAAGTGAAGGCTAGGAGTTAAATAGCACTTATACCATGGTCTGGGTAAATTCTCGATTCTGATTGGCTGCAGGGTGTCCATTAATTCCTCAAAAATGGACACCTTGTTTGGGTTTATCCCTTACATATAATGTGCTGCTTTAAGTGTAATGGTTTGTAATACAGAACACTTTGGGAAGTCATTGTTGGAAACAGTTTGGAATTGGGCAGGCAAAAATACAGGTCAGATGATTGGATGAACAACCAATCAGATAAACGAACCATAGAACGAAGTCAAACTCTTAACAAAGTCAGTCGGGAGAAAAGCGAAAAACATCTTTTCCATCGAGAAAAGCCTTCAGTTCCGCTGTTCTGCTCTTCTTTCAATTCAAAAATGCTCTCCAGTTCTGATATAACTGATGCTAGCAGCATCTATGCCAACCTCTGTAGCAGCCCTATTGTTGTTTTTGAGCAAACAGTCACTTCTCCCACATGTTGTCACACACACTGGTCTGTAACCACAAACCTCAAAGTTGACCTTCAGTGCGGTCAGGGACACGTGTGTTCACACTAAACTGCAAATGGGGTCACATTTCTGCCTGAACACCCTCCGGCTGTGGCTTGAGTGATCAGATCTTAATGCATCCTGGATGTGTTTGGATGCATTCACACCTGTATTTACAGCTGCCCACTTTGTGATCAGATTACCAAACGCGCGTTTTCATGCCAAGTGTAAACTGCGCCTTATTGATGACGTGATCACGCTTGTGAGTCCGTGCTGAGTGTCGGGATGCAGTCCGGTTAGGCACAGCCTTACATGGGAGGGTCCCTCAAGGGGGAAAACGAGGGATTAAGCAGGGAGCGCCTTTGGTTGGGTGGGGGCTGGGGGTGATGTCAGTGTGGCGCTCTACAGTTTCTAAAAATTACTCCAGATGATCTGACACACAGCCAAACTCTTCACATTACCATGAGTCAACAGGCCGAGCGGAGTGCTGTGAGAAGAAGGGAGAATGGGCTAAGAGGGCAGAAACCGAGCCAGATAATCCTTGATGGAAAACACGCAGTGGATCTCTTTCTCTCACACACACAAAACCTCAAACAAATCCACACACACTTTCTCCCAGAACATTCCTGACTGAAGTGAACACCTTAACACCTCAGGACCGTATTTAACGCTCTTCTTGTTTTATTTATCTTTCCACCAGTGCCTTTAAAGGACCAGCAGAAGTCCAGGTCTTATGTTTTAAGGTGGGTTTATTTGACTGTGTGTCTGTTTTTGTCTGTGTGGGAGCATTATACCCACATCAAATCCCTCTAACCCTTTCTGTATGTCTCTCTCTTATCTTGTTCAGAGTGTTTAAGGAGGTGTAAGAGAAAGTCGTGGTTGGCTGTGCAGCAGTGTGTACATAATGAAAAAGGGGACAGAATAACATACCAACATCTTCATATCCATTTACCTTACCGTGCCCCGCCTACCCGAACATCCCTGACTCACCCACTCCTTCCACAATGCAAGAAGGACCCAACCAATCACAGTTTGCCAAATGTTGTATGTTATTTTAGCTGGTGAAATGTATGTAAGGCTATATTTACATGCCTGTGTCCATGTGCTGTTTGTTACAGTATATGTATGTACTACCTAATAAAACAGTGAATCATTGGACATGCTATTGCAATGACTATATGGATGTGTAATAAAAATTGTATTTTACTATGTATCATTTGGATTTCTATGCACACTTCGAGAGACTGTATGATGCTTACAATAAAACTGCACACAAATTTCCCATCATTTTAATTTTATAATTGAACAACCATAGTATATAGACACATCTGCTGGCTTTCAAGGGGTGGTATGGTGGCGATTGAAGAGATGATTTATCCAAGGAAATTAGCAAAAGCGGTATCAAACCATGCAGAAGGTTTCAGATTTAAATATATCTGTCTCTAAGACTAATGCTGCAACGACAGTGGTAGTGAGTGGAATTTTTGTTTGCGTGCTTCAAACTAGAAAAGCTCAACATGTCTTCGGAAACAGTTCAAGCTGGGTAATTTTACAGACTGTGACATCAGCTACTTTTATTGGACCTATGTTCTACTGAATAAATAGTAGAAGTTGTAAAAATAGCTCCTGAGGTCTTTATCTCTAAACCTCAGCCTATGAAACCAAAACTATCTGCACAGCTATCAGCAGCAGTGATCATTGAGGGCTTTTTGTTTGACAGGGTGAAGGATCCCTTCAAAAGAATACTCCGCTGTATAAAACACTCCACTAGTATAGCTACCCAGAGCTATAGTGGTCAGCCACTGAGCAACACTGTTGGCGCAGTTAAGAGGCCATAAAGATCCCCTCAAGACATTTGTTAAGACAAATATACCAATAATCTGCTTGTAACAATAATATTTCTCTACAAAGAAACACATTCAAATCCTTAAAAAGGTATCTACTCCTTCTACCTCATTAAAAAATCCACAATCTATGAATGTGCTAATTAAGTTAATTTCTAAAGTTTTCCTGCTTCCTTCATACTTCACTATAAAGTCCATTCTCTCATATATGCCCTGCTTGCTTCAAGTTTCTGCATCACACTTGCATAAGTTGCAAGTTAGACCAGGATTGATTGATTGATTGATTGATTCCAAACTATTTGTGATGCCACAAATTATGCTCATAGGCCCCGCCCCTTAAAAAGCACAGAGAAACTTTCCTCTTTCAGCAGACCAATGTGAAAACATCCTTCTAGTGTCGAACTCTGCACATACATCAACATCCAGCTGTAGGAACAAAAAGAAAAACACTCTTATGGGGGCTTTCAAGGACACTTTAATGCTGCTTTTTTTCCCTTATAGATAGTGGAAAAATAAAATTAAAATACAATGGGTGACGATGATAAAATAAAACACTGGCAACATAAATTCCTTAACGTCCTGTGATCTGCTATTAACTGCACAACATCCATGTTGCTGCTGGTGCTAGTCCAATTAGAAGTGTCCTTACCATATATGTATGGTATTGTAAGGTCTGTCTCCATCCTGCTGTTTCTTCTCACAAAGAGTGATCCAACCACCCCATACCGCACCCTCACCTTACATTTGGTCTAAGTTCTAGCTTCTGATTGGTTAGTTCAGTCACGTGAGAAGTCCAAACAAGGAAGTGGGGTTGTTGTGAGTTGTAAAAGTTCAATAAAGTACTGCTTGAGAAAGTCATCTGTCTCCATCCTTCTGTTTCTTCTGATAAAGAGTGATCCAACCACCCCATACCGAACCCTCACATTACAGTATCCTTAAATGGCAGGAATGGTTTTAATATTTGAATTTGACATAAGGTGGAAGAAGCTAGTGCTGTCTTTGCTTATTTCTGTTAAACTCCTGTAAAACCTGTACACGTGCTTCAAATATAAACACTTGTCAGGTTTATCTTCACTTATTAAACAAAACAGAGGTCATATTACCACGTGTTAGGTATTGCAAAGAGGACGTTTCTAACAGTATTTCACAGCCTGTTTTTCCTCCATAAAAAAAAAGAACTGAACAATGTTATTGCATATTATGATTTTTTTATCTTGCTCCTTGGTTTTACTAACGTATTAGTGTGCAAGAAGAAGTTGGTTATTCACACTAGATGAAGTATGTCCATTGGATGAATAGAGGGGTTATTTGAGTACAGTATTGTCCAGGGTTACCGGTGTGATTGGAGAATGTGATTTTCTGTGTTACACTGACATCTTGTGGTGAGACAAGACAAGACAAAATGTGACATCCTGACACACAACATCAGCCGTATGGGAAGTCATATTTTACGGACTGTAACATCAGCAGTTCCTCTTCTAAAGTGATCACTTTTTATGGTCAAAATACATAGTGTGTGACCACTTAACATTAATATTTAGATTATTTTAAAATGTGTGTAATTTCAGTGGACATGAAGTGAACTCTATTTGCATATCTAGAGAGAGACTTTCCACAGAAGACAAAAGATTGTGGTTAAAATGCTGGTTTAAAATAAACCCAACCTGTAGCTTCCGCTCATGACCCCAAAATCATGTCACACCCACAGGTTAAAAAGATCTTCTGTGAAACTAAACTAAAATAAAATAGTGCCTTATTGTTTTAGAAAGGGCATTGGTTTTACTTCTGCTTACGTCTAAGTCTTTCACTTCTGAAAATAAGAAGAATCAGTTTATTTACTGAAATGAAAATTTGTGTATTTCTAAAATATAACACAACGGTGTAAGAGGGATTTAAGTGAACACTGAACCACTTTAAATTGTCCAAATTGGAAGGGAAACTTTCAGATATACAAAAACCTCTTCTTCTTGCATGCACAGTACACAGTAGACACAATATTTGTTTGTTCTTGTCAACATATTCACATTCTACCATGTTGTTTCAATTCCCTAAGCCTTCTATCACTTTTCAGCACAAATCAGCAATTCAAATTCATGCTGAAGGCACAAACATCTGAGCGCGGTTGACCAACACATTTCCTGTAGCTTAACAAAAAAAAGCCGAAAGACAGGAAAGCTGCTGCCTGAGGTGAGTTTAGAAATGAACATGTCACACACGCCCTTACATTGTGCAGCCTATTTCCTTTGCTGAACTTCACTGAACAACAGATGACTCAACTCCGCAGCACAGCCTCTACATGTGCCGCTCAATAGAAAATGTGGCTCATCAAGGTCTTCAGTGTCATATGTAAGTTTTTTGAGCAATTGCACTCATTTTTTTTGACTTATATAATGTACAAAGAATATTTTCACGTACATTTGAATGTGTTTCTCACCTAACATTTATCTTATTGTAATTTGACAGATTTCATTGCTGTTTGTGCAGCTCAGGGTGATGAAGATGGTAAGAAAAACGTTTAAAATACTGACAAAACATCAGTATTTTATGCACATTGCACAGATTTTAAAAAAGCAGTTTAAAAAAACAACAACAGTTTAGTTACACTAAAGGCCTTTAGTTAAACTAAATTGTTAAATACTAACTTGTGAGATTAACCTCTGTGATTGGAAACTAAATTACCTGGAATTAATGATTTTGATAGCCTGTACTAACTCAGAAGCAGATAAAAATAATGCTTAGGAAGTAGATCATGAGAAAAGTTAACATGAGGAACATGAAGTACTTTGTAGTCATGAGTCTGACAGTTCCTGCCAAATTTGACGCCTTCTAGTGCAAGTTCTTATTTCGCTGTTCTGCAGTTCTTTTATGTTTTTTAGGTTTTCTAAACTGTAATGTCCTTGTTCTTGTGTCCTCCAGTAGTACGAGTGGTTGATAAATAATAATAACACCTGATAATATAGTCCAGTCATGCGTTATAATGTTAATTTTTTGGAGCACAGGTGTTTCAGCTCTGGTTTCAGCTCTTTGTGTTGTATTGAACTACATTTTATTGTCAGTTGTTCCTGTTATTTAGTCCACCCCTTCTGTCACTCTCTGTAGTGACCTCTCTGCAGACCTTTCAATCCCTGTGTCAGCTCTATTGAAATTATGCGATTTGTTGAGTGTGATCAGTTTAATTTAATTGGGTTTCAAATTCCTTGTATGGTGGTTTCAAACATGACCTGATCAGTTCATCCAGGGCTGCAACTACTTATACTTTTGATTGACTGTTTTCGTCTATGAAATGTCAGAAAAAAAGTTAAAATTTCCTGTTCACACAGCTCAGGGAGATATGAATTTAGATAGCTTGTTTTATTCAACCAACACCTAACGTTATTCATTTTGCTGTCATATACGACAAAGACAAGCAACAAATTTGACACACATTTAAGAAACTGGAACCAGTGCGCATTTGGCACTTTTGCCTGAAATTATTAAATTAATGTGTTTTTTGTTGCTGCTCAAAGTTCATTATTTATTATTATTACTGCTGCTGCTGTATGTAGAGCACAAATGCTGGCTGTTCTGATCTAAATTCTGCTCTCCTCTCATCCACCAGTCACCGCCGTGTTCAACTCCGTCATTCCAACCACTGTTCTGCCAGTGGTATTTACAACTACCTATGGTGAGATTTGGATTGTTTAATTTAACTTCTGCTGTAAAACCATATACCTAAAAGATTAGGTGATGATCATGCATGTTCATTACATTTTCAAAATCAATATGTACTTTGGCATTGATGTTAAAATCCACAGACGCAAAGTGAATGCAGACCTAAACAAAATGATATTCGAATGATATGTCTTTGACAGTGTGAATCAGCAAATGTCACCTGTGAAGTCACCATGGGTGTTGTCACATTTGTACTGGTTTATATAGATGACATCGCCACCGCAATTTGTCTCTCTGCCTTTTAGAATAAAGCCTGTTCCAATTTGCAAAATGAAACTGCTGTTGAAAAAATACATTACTCAAATATTACTTCACCACTATTTCAAAATGGATTCTCCTTCTTATTCATCATTTTAACTAAGTTCAAAATCAATTCAATAACATTTGATTAATTTTGAAGCCTTGTGTGGTTCACTCTTACCTGCACTAAAAATTTAATCAAGACAAGCAGATTTTTTTAACTTTCACAGTAATCGCCCTAATGCCACTGGACCTAAATGTGCACGACTATTTCAGTATATTATTTTTTGGTATTATAAGAATCTAATCAATAATTATTTTTATTTAAACTTCCAGAGCCTCCTACACCGACTCTGGAGCTACAGTCAACCTGGTTGGATGTGTTCCCTTCTGAGAAAGTAAAGTTCAGTTGTAGTATCACTGGCAGCTCTGACTGGACCTTCACCTGGTTCAGAAATGGTACTGAAGTCCAATTAGATTCAAATGTGTCTGCAGAGGGATCAGTGCTTACAATTACTGCAGCAGAAATACATTCTGGAAGTTATTCCTGTAAAGGTCATCACAAAACAAAAGGCGTTTCCTCTGCAGTTAGTAACTCACATGAACTCAAAGTTTCTGGTAAGTTTCATTATGTTCCCTCAACCATATTTCTGCTGAACGTTTAGTCAGAATATGATCAGTAACTGAATTGTTATCTTTTTTCTTCTTCTTTCTGATTAGCAAACAAGCCCAAGCCCGTTGTAAGCCAAAATCCAAACCATGACAAGATGTTTCCCGGAGAGTCTGTCACCTTCACATGCGGGAATGTTTTGTCCACTGGATGGGAATATCTGTGGTACCATAATGGAAGCAAAATTGAAGTATCTGGTAGTGACCATACCATTTCTGTAGATTATTCAAAGAGTGGACAGTATTACTGTAAAGCCAAGAGAGGCAAAGACCCATTCTACACAGAGGACAGTGAAATAACAACTCTGAAGGTCTCTGGTAAGCTTAATGAACAGTGTCATCACTTCAACTAAGTCAAACCGCACTTCAGACAGTATGACCGCTTCTTTCCTGTCTACATAAGTTAGCCTTTGTGCACATCACTATCTATAGTACTTTTATCTGTGAAAGAGGAAGTTTATTTTCTTTAAGTTATTTTAATTGGGGTTTATCTTAAATGTCTATCAAGATTTTAAGACTTCTTTGTATTGTATATTTTCAGACCCACCTAAACCTTCCCTAAAGCTGCTGTCTCCCTGGACGAATGTGTTTGAAAATGAGACAGTGGAGTTCTTGTGTGAAGTGGACAGCCCTGACTGGAAGCCCACCTGGTACTACAATCAGATGCAGCTACCGAAGGACTTTGACGTGAGCCTGGATCCAGAGGGACTTTCACTCAACATCACCTCGATCACTCAGGACTATCAAGGAGATTATGCCTGCAAAGCTGACCACCATTCCAGGAAAATAAGCTCTGGATTCAGCGACAAAATCAATATCAACGTTTATGGTGAGCATTCATGCCTCTGGATATGATTACATAAACAATATATTAACCCAGCTATCTTAAAGAAGTAATTTAAAATTATTGGGAACAAGCAAATTTACCTTTAGAAATGGAAATAGGAGGGAAAAGCTAGCCTTGCTCTGACCTAAATGTAACAGAATTTGCCTACTACTAATTAACACTTTAAATCTTGTTTGTTTAAGTCATACAATAACCAAAGTATAAAAATGACACAGGAGGGGATGTTAATTTGTTTTTCTACTTTGAGCGATGGTTTGTTGTCGTCACAATGAGGTTTCCAGGTGGGTTGTATGATTCTGTTACGTTGGCACAGAGCCAGGCTAGCTGTTTGCCCCGTGGATGTATTTAAAGCTCTTATTATACATCCAAGGTTTCCCCACTGTTTTCAGTCTGTGTGCTAAGCTAAACTAAGCTAAGCTAAGCTGAAAATGTCAAACAACTGTTACTTCTTAAAGTTAATATCCAACTTCATTAAAGATGGGGTCAGTCATTCTGGAGAAAGACTGTTGAGTTGAATTCCCAAAACCTCGGGTTGCCAATTAGATGACCTGGGAGCATGAACACCACTTGTTGTGTTGCATGGCTTTCCCATTTACAATAATTCAAATCGAGGCCGAAGTACTGAATGTTTTGCCAGCAGGACTGACCACACCTTTAAGTAATCAGTTATTACATATAACTGACCGCACCTTTAAGTGGTCAGTTATTACATATAACTGTGTCTCATGTTTTGGGTGTAGCTGTAATATGGTGTGAACTTCTTTTCTGTTTTAGAAAACCTACCAAAACCAACCTTGAGCAAGGTCCCTGGTTTTAACGAGATGTTTGTTGGAGAAACAGTGATATTCACTTGTAATGTTGATGTGTCCACGGGTTGGAATTATCAGTGGTACAAAGACGGAAAAGATCTCACTAAAACAGACAAAACCCTCAGCATCCCTCTTGGTCTTTCAAATGGGGGGAAATACTCGTGCATGGCCACCAGAGGCGAAGTAACATCAACAGACATCAGTGATGAAATACCACAAGTTGTTCGTGGTAGGTAGAAAGAACAAAGTAATATTATTTAAGCATTGTGTTTACAGTAATAAAATCTACAATTGTTTGTTGTGAATATGTATAATTCTGATCATGTATTATATACAAGGGAAGTTGTAACTACGTGACACTGAAGGCTTTAAAAACCTTCTGGCTGTTCTTGAATTGAGTGAAACAGCGTTTTGGGAGCATCTGGCTTCCGTTATTTTATGTATTTTCTGATGAAACAGGATGTTGTGGTGTAGCATAGCGCAGGGAGGGATGGCTCAGAAGTGTGTATATATACTGTATGTAGCAGTGGCATAGCCCTTATTGTAGGGAGGCAAAAAGTCAGAATTACTCATTTTAAACTTGTTTTCCATGTTCAGAGGAAAAGACTCTAACCTACAATTTCATATTACAGTTCTTACCGTTATTTTTGTTAATTCATTATTTCATGTTAATACTTGATTAAGTCAGTGTTTTTTTTCTTTCTTTTTTTTTCCTCTCTGGTTTGAGTTGATATTATCATCATTGTACCTTAGGTTGGCTGACCTTGTGTTCTTATATCTCTGGTGGTATTTACTTGTTGTAGCCATTAAGGTTAGAAATTAGTTAAGCAAAAACAGATTTGTTATCCAAAAGACAAATTCAATGAGGATCTACATTTACATTTTTTATCCAGCATTTCAGTAGATTTGACACTATAAAGCTCCTGATTTAGCTCAACACCCAATATTTTTTTTGACGTTGTCCTCTTTTATGTAAGCTTGCTTGTGTTTAGATCAGATGTTGTGTATTATATATAATTAACTTTCTAATGCTTTATACTGTATGGTAAAAAGGTAAGAAAAGGGGCTGATGTGTCTTTTTCTCCGTAGAAATTCCAGTTCCTGTTTTGACACAAGAAACACCGTGGTTGGATGTGTTCCCCAGTGAGATTGTAAAGTTTAGCTGCAAGATTATTGACGGGTTGGACTGGATTTATACATGGTACAAAGACGGACAGGAACTGGTTGAGTCGAATAGAGCTACTCTTTCCATCAGCTCTGCTTCAACTGCAGATGCAGGACAATATACCTGCATGGGGCGAGGGAAGGACAGGTCTGTCAACAGCAAATCTAGTTCTGCACGTAATCTCAGAGTATATGGTGAGTTGTTGTTGTTTTTTTTAAAATCTACATAAAAATTAAAACACTCTCTAAATGTATTTCTTAATTTTAAGTATTAGGGCATTGGGTTGGGTGGGCTAAGTATCTGTTTAAGGCAGATCTGGTTTTTCATTGGATGCAGTGTAATTTAACACCCTGATGACAATTACATGTTTACTGACCCTCAGAGAAGCAACCCAGTGTCATACTGGTGCAGGATCCAGACTACCAGGTGATGTTCCCTGAAGAGTCAGTCAACTTTAGCTGTCATATTAACATCTCCACTGGATGGGAGTACTCGTGGTACAAAGATGGCAGTCAACTGAGCAATCCAGCTGGAGAAAATAGAAACGACTATATGGTCAGCTCTGTTAAAACAACAAACCAGGGTTCATATACATGCCAAGCAAAAAGAGGCTCATTCACTGCCTCTAGTCAGGATATACGCCTTCAAGTTGAAAGTAAGTGTCTGTTGATTTACTCTAAACATTTATTTGTTGTGTGCAGGTTGTTGAATGAGTTTTGCAGTTTCCACAGTGCATCTCTGGTCACTAATGATCCTGGTCAAATGTTTTAATGAACAATGTAGCAACATGTAACTGTTGATATCACAAAATAAACACAGATTCATTTCCTCTTTGTGTTTTTAGAGAACAAGCCAAAGCCTTCGATTACTCAACAGCCAAATGTTAACAAGGTGTACACTGGAGAGTCAGTGTCCTTTGAATGTAAAGTTAAACTCTCGCGTGGTTGGGAGTATTGCTGGTACAAAGATGGAGAAGCTCTCTCTATCAGCAGCAGTAGTTATAACATCCCTGATGCCAAATTATCAAACAGCGGGACTTATAAGTGCATGGCTACAAGAAGAAGCAAAACAATGTACAATACAACACACAGTGATGAACAGATCTTGCACGTAATTGGTGAGCCACAGAAAGTTACTTATAAAATAATAATAATAATATAAATAATGTGGGCCTCTATCTGTGATTACGGATTTAATGTATTTTATATGTATAATTTTATGTTAAAAATCAAATACGTATATGTCTAAGGATATTTGAAAGGGGCTAATGTGTCAGTTCTTTTTTAGAAATTCCCGTTCCAACTTTGAAGCAAGCTACAAAATGGTTGGATGTGTTCCCTTCTGAAAGTGTGAAGCTGAGCTGTGAGATGGACGGCAGTTCTGACTGGACATATACATGGTGCAAAGATGAACAGATTGTCCTGCCTGAAAATGGTATATCTTTTGACTCGGATAAAACTACTCTTTCCATCCACTCTGCTTCAGTCTCACATCGTGGACAATACAAATGCTCAGGAAAATTCAAAAGCAGGCCCGTCAACAGCAGCTTCAGTTCTGAACTAACACTTTCCGTTTACGGTGAGATTTTTTTCATCCTTTTTTGCACAGTTCTTTAGAAACATATTTTTTTTTTCAAATCAATTGTTTTATTTTGACTCTTGGTGGTTGGTGGGTTTTCTAAGCAAAAACATTTAAAGGAATAGACGCTTTGGCAAATACGCTTATTCACTTTCTTGCAAAGAGTTTAGATTAGAAGAGCAATACCACTCTCATATCTGTCCTGTTCAGTATGATGCTACAACTAGGATACGGTTAGCATAGCTTAGCATCAAAACTGTAGACAGGGGGAAACAGTTAGCAGCTGGTAGCCTTGTAACCTCACAGGACTTAAGCAGCACATAACCTCTTTTTGAACTATAAATTATTGTTCTGACACTTACATTTTGGTACAGATAAAACAAATAAGATATAAGGTGGTGGTGGTGTTTTTTTTTACCTTGGTCAGCGCCAGACTAGCTGTTTCCCTCTACTTCCAGTCTTTAGTGTGCAGGATTTAGTGGCATCTAGCGATGTAGTTGCAGACTGTAACTCACTCACTTTACCCTCCTTTTCCAAGCACAAGGGAGAGACTTGTATCCATAAACACAATGATTCTTACTTTCAGGGGATTATACACAAATGAAAACATACCTATAAATATTATATTCCATTTCTGCCAGTAGATCTTCCTAAATGTTCCACACTAGACCTTTACCATTTGCCGGACAAATAAGAGAGTGGCATTGATCGTCTCATCTAATTATCAGAAAGAAACAAATAAATATATTTTCCAAAACTAGTAATGTAGAAAGTAGTAGTTTCAGCATGTCACAATAACTATTTAAAGCATGCATAAGGCCAGCTTCTCTGTACTATGGGCTCTACAGTGTGATATACATTGCTTTCATACTAACAGCACTTATATTATTATTACCCCTCAGATGAAAAACCCAGAGTCATACTGGTGCAAAATCCCAATCACAGAGTGATGCACACTGGAGATTCAGCTTCGTTTAGCTGTCACATTAATGTCTCTTCTGGATGGGAGTACCTGTGGTACAAAGATGGCAGTCAACTCACCGAATCTCAAAACAATCATACCATCCCTTCTGTTCTGACAACACACACCGGATCATATAAATGCAAAACTAAAAGGGGAGACTTTCAGTCAGACCCGAGTCAGACTATAAGTCTAGACATTAAAGGTAAGTTTTCGTTCACTTCAGTTTTCTGTATGTGCATGTGTTGAATGTGTTTATTACAGTTTTGATGGTGTTTCTACAGAGCGCCCAAAGGCTGATATAATCCTGTTAACTGGCTGGTCTGAGGTCTTCTCCACTGACAGCTTGGTGCTCAAATGCGGGGTGGAGGAAAACCAGGAGAACATGTGGAACTACACATGGTAATACACATCAACAACACCAGTTATTGCTAAAGAATAAAGTTTTCTAAATCTATTCATGTGTACTGTGTGGATTCTCACCTTTCTGAAAATTCCAACATGCAAAAATTGAACAGGTTTAAAGAGGACAAAGCCATCGATCGCCCGCACTCTGAGAGACATACAGTCACACCCCAGAATGACCCTGAGCAGAGTCTGTACACCTGCCAGGGCATTCGCACCGGGAGACCATCATATTCAAAAAAGAGTGATCATTTCACGACCAAGAACCTTCGTGAGTATACCATAACTGAGCACTGGAACTTGAGTTTTTACCCTGCAGATATTCTGTCTCACTTTCATTCTCTGTTTTTATTTTGAATGTGTAGTTTTGAAAAGGAGGGTGCTTCTTTCCATCTCTGGCTGTATCTTTTTTGGCATCATTGCCGTCTTCCTTGGATGCATCATCCTCAGAGTCATCCGCAAACCAGGTTTTGTTTTGTTTTTTTACTTTTCAAGTGCATGGATTCTAAAAATCAATATTATTAAAACAGTTATAATCAATATTGTTATAGTAACAATGTATGAATGACAATGTGGTCACACGTACTGATGAACTTACGGAGAATTGGCACCTGAATCTGCAGCTCCCCTCTGCTTTATGGCCATTACTGTTTTGGTTGACTCTCATCTCTGTCAACGAGTCATTTCGTCCACCGCGGAAAGCTTTTTTAATGGAAAAGCTCTAAAACTTCAGTATACACTACATGCTCAGCACCAAACAGGAGACAGACACAATGAGTGACTGGCTGGTGAACATGCTGGAACATTAAGCTGCTTAAGAATCAGATATTTCCCTCAAGAGTTGGTAGCGACCAGAAGGAGAGCTAAAAGACAGTGAATATTGGAGTTTACATTCATCAGGTGACCACAAACTCAAATGAATGATTATGTTGCTTAATAGCTACTGGATGTGTAAATTATTGACAGTTTGCTAACAAGTTCACCGTATCAGTTTAAAAGATAATAATGTGTCAATGTTGTGTTGGGATTTCCGAGGATGTACTTACTCTCAATAAACCAAAACCAAAATGAGGTTACCTAATATCTTTTCTTTTTATGTAGCTCAAGATGAATATAAACCAGAAGAGGCAGACCTGTTTCTCAACATGTCTCAGCTAAAGGGCAGTGATGGTATGTTGACACCGCCCCTCATGGTTTGTGGTTTTGGTTGCCATTTCCTCATATGCTGCAGATACAGCCCCACCAGTGATTCATTTCTGAGCTATTTTGAAATCACCATATGTGAAACTATCTACTGCCACTTTCAAGACTGAGCCTGACTTTCATAGTTTGCCTCTAGCCGTTGGTGCTCTTTTGTTAAAAGTTCCTTCCTCCCGCCTCCAGATGCACCCTTTCCACTGGTTCAGTACATCACTGACGCAGCACTGAATGCTCCATCTAAAGGTAAAGAACCTGTAGATAAGTAAAGAAGATGACACAAAAACTATATTACTATGCAAGTATGTTCAAGTGTCTTTTCTGGTTGCTTTTTAAAAAAACAATCTGACCTGCAGAAGAGGATGAGAATGGCGCGATTTGCAGTGAAACGACACCATTACCAATAACATCGGAGGAAGACCAAGGTAATAAAGTTATATTACAAATGCACTCTTCAAATCTACCATTTTTCCTCTGTGATGATAGATCCTGTGCCAATTTATTTATAGCTGATAATGTAGTTCTAATGCAAGTTTCCACATGTTGCCCATTACACCTTTCTAGCTGTTACAACTGAGAGCCAAGATGCAACAGAAAACAACGGTGGGCTGGTTTCCTTTAAACAATGAGTCACCGAAGCAGTGGATTAGTTTCAGGCAAAAAAATGTAAAGATTGGCCAAAGAGAAAGGTGAAACTTTATACAGTGACCATGATAAGACATCTAAGACTCATCTTGTCTCAGCTCAATATGGTCAGACTGATGTTTGCATCAGTCTTAAAGTACAGCTGAGGATCATTAGGATTGTCTGTACCAAATTTAGAATATTTGATGAGATATTATACTGTGTTACAAATGTGTGCAGATTTGTTTGGCACAGCACAATACTGTTGAGAACTGTAAATATTTCAATTCATATTACTGTATCGATTAATTGACTGTTAAACGTACTGTTAAAATATGAAACATTATTTATGTGATAGGCATCAATCGTATATTGTTGTATTGTACATATATGTGTATTTTTAGTTTTCAATTATTGTATGCACTGTACATAGCCTTTGTGATGATCTGTAGGATAGTTTTTCAATTCTTAGAACAACCACCAGATGTCAGTAGATACAAGTTCTCCAAAGCTTAGTGACCAGTTGGATATTGCATATTTATCTACAGTGCAGCTACAGAAATGCCATTCAAATATTTGTTTTAAACCTTACCCTATGAAATTATGAAAATAAAAAATACAAAACTTTGCCACAAGTGTTCATTCAAACTAATAATGATCTGCACCATCAGATGTGACTGCAAGAAAACACACGTTCAACCAGTGGGATTTTCACAAGAAGGCCGATTTGTGGTTCTTTCAGTAGGGAGATCATGTTCATCATGTGCACCTGTAACAAGATGGGACAAAAGACAATCATTATCCAGACAAACCTTAAATTTAAAATATTTTTGACCCAAAAGAAGCATGTAGGCTCACAGCAACATACACAATACTTACTGACACATCTACTTGAGGATATCAGCCAGTTTTTCCATATAGTAGTCGTAGTTTTCCTGACAATCTTCCCAGGGTGTAAAGCTCTGGTCCTCCTTCTCCACATACGTTTCCCAGACATGTAGGAAGTCACATGGCTTCATCATCCGCAGTTTGCAGCCGGCACTCACCAGAGCCCGGAGTCCTTCTACTATCTCTGGCTGCTCCCACTCAAAGAGACGAGAACAGAATATGCAGAGACGGAGCTTTTTGCGCTGCTGGAGGATGTTGGCCAACTTGGCTGCACAGGACACACAGGGACTGGATGATACATACCATGTGACTTCATACTCTTGGGAAGCGTTAGGGAGCACCTGGAAAGGAAAGAGTAGGGATTTATGGAGGCCTAAAGGAGAAAACACTATTAATTACATTATCACAAGAGATAATGGTTGCAAACTAACAGGAATCAGACCTCTACTGGGGTTCACATATGTGTAGTATAATAAGTCGGTATGAAAAGTGTGAGTGTTCATTACCTGTTGAAAGAAGGCCTCTTCAGCATGAGCTGTGGCATGTTCATCCTCCATATAACCTTTCAGAGGCTCTGTGCTGCCTCCTGGTGTATCCACTCTGAAGCACAGTAGGGTCTTGTTCCTCCCTGATGAGTATTCCACATTCCTGAACTGAAACTTGAAGTAGAACGGGCTCATCTGTTCCCTGGTGGAGATTGAAAGTGTGAGTTTCCATAAATCTGATATTAAGTTGCCTCTTTTCTTTCAGTGAATGCCAAAGCACTATTCGGTTGGACAACGCTGAATGTCATCGTCATTGGGGCTTTTTAGTGCATGAAGGTTAGATTAGTATGAAAGAGAAAACCACAATCAACAGGATGCATCTATCAGCAGTGCTTTCAGAATAATGTGTCACATTTAATGGTGGTGTATGGCAGAGTAGTTGGAAATGCCAAACCAGGTGACACTAACACTGAGAGCATGAGTCACTCATTTGGTGATGCATTTGTCAACCATCCAAGACAGTAAAAGAGTAATGATAGCGAGTCTTCAGTATAGACTATGGTGACACCATGAATAGAATATTAATGAGGCTACCACTGAGTAAACTGATGTTTCTATAAATATTTTTGGCTTCCCACAATCTGTGGATGATCTCTTCACGATTCAGCCACTGAACAAAACACATACCCCTCCTGTCTTTCTATATCAATCCTTTGTTATATTGTATGTGAATAGCCAGAAGTATTACACAAATAGATCTTTTATAGCTTTAATGTCAAAATACACAAAGGACAGAGACTGGGGAACAGATGCTTGCTGGAGTGATATAGCAGGGACCGGCATCTGTGTCGGCTCTGTGACTCATCCCTATTCTTACTGCTGGGTTAGTAAGGATGGCAGGTGTGAGTCATTAGTATCCTTCCTCACTGATATCTAACTAAACTATAGAACATGCATTGATAACAATTTGATTTAGAGAAAGACATGAAAAACTACTTCAACTACAAAATAATCAAAAAACGAAAGTGTTAAAGAGCTAAACAGGTCTGCAAGGATAACATACTGACTCTAACTCTTGTGGTGTATATATTAAAGTGTACCTACCCTGTGACAATCTCAAATGGTGGCAGTTCTATGGGCTGGAACTCTCCATTTTCTTCACTGTTATTGGCCTCCGCTCCTGTTGCCTCTCCACTTTCCCCATTCCTCTTCTCTTCATCCGTCTTGGGTGGCTCTGGGGTCTTCTCTGGCTTTTTCACAAGTTTTTCAGGCTTTTTCACAACCTTCTCCTTCCCCTTCTCCTTTTCTTTGTCCTTCTCATCATTTGTTTTGTTTTCCACCTTCTTCTCTTTCTTCTTAACACTCACCCGGCTGTTTCTGTCGGCCATGATTTTGTGTAAGTGGTTGAGAGTGGTAGATAACGAGAGGGAGGGAGAGGGGGATGTCAGTCTAAGTGGAGTGATAACCCTAGTGCATTTACAGAAATAGAGCCTATTGTGTGCTATAGTTGGAGTCACAACATGTGCAAGTCATGCCTCCCCCCATGCCCTGGCAGTTAAAAGGCGAAAGGACAACACAAGAGTGAGTGTCCATGTGTTGCTCGAAGAAAGGAGGGCATGACTCGACTTATATCTCTTACACACTTCATACAGTTGCCAAATTAAGAAAGGAAACTATATTATTCTGTGTATAAATGTATAACCTCAACACACAACAAGAGTTATCTCTTTAATCCATCAGGCTTTAACTGTCAACAGGCCAGCAACAGGCAGGTTATTAATAACGATGCTTGACTGTGTGTGTGTGTCTGTGTGTATGGGGTAACCAGGGCTTTCTTGATACTAAACACCACGTTTGTTTGTGCCAACTCCAAAGTCCTGCAGCCCAATAGGCCTTAGCAAAACGCCAAGGCCAGCTTAAGGGCACCCCAAATAGGGGAAGATACACACACAACACTGTCTAAGAGAGTATTTGTTTCTGTGCTATAGATAAGAGTGCAGGAGTGAAGTGTGGCCTAGTGTGCATGTGCCCGTGAACAATCAATCTATGAAATCACCCTGCATCAATATGGCCCTCAGCTGAGGCCATTGCATGGGGGAGGGGAAAAATTGGTTTTATAAGAGTGTGTGTATTTTTCTGCTTATGTGTGTCTATGTGCAGACAGAAAATGGCTTTCTGCACTGCAGATGTAATAACTTGAGGCATAAGGGAGAGGGTGGGAGGGAGGGAGGGAGGGAGGGGGCAGTTCAATTACAATTTCCTCCCCTCCCTCAGTCTCACTCTCTGCCAAGTAATTCATTTCAGAGGCAATTACCAATAGGACCGCAGCCCAGCCTGTTCGTCTAACTCATATGGATGAGCTGTCACAGCCGGGGGCAGGAGGGAGAGGGGGGGGGGTGGGATGCTTCAAGCTGCTCCACATACACCCATGAACAACAACACACCCCATGGGGATGGGCAAAAACACACTTTTCATAGATTAACACACTGACATATCCACACGGATATCTAGCAACACATCTAAATCCACAGAGACATCCTGGGGTGATAATCATTAAGATCACAGCAATCTTTGATAATTATGATCTATGAGGGAAATCTCTGTATCTCACACAGATTAACACAATTCCTCTAAAGTGGTTTTCAAGAATAACAAAAACAGAAACGCTGAGACGGAGTTGGTTTGCAGTTGGTGAAAAAGAGATGTAATCTCTGTGACATTAATCACATCTATTTCAATTCTTTCACAGTTAGTCCTCCTCAAACTGGTTGACGCTGTTGTCTCACGTTCCCCATTAATCACAAAACATTTATCAGTGCATTGAAGCAGGTACGCCTACTGATGCAGCATTAGAGAACAAGAGTATGGTAGCTACATATAGTTTCCTGCCATTTAGTTTTAAGTACTTTAGTAATAAGGTTGCGAGCCTGGTTGGCTATGAAACAAAAGGACCGTGTAGGATGTGGCTGCTGCCTTCCTGCTGACTCAAATTTAACTGTAATGGAATTACATGCAATTACCCTGCCTCCCCACTGGCCCAGCCACAGAGTCCCTGAATAAAGGCAAACACACACTGCAACATTCACAGTTTATGCTTCAAAGTGATGCCCTGCAAAGTGGTTTCAAAATACTTCAGTGAGGTCAGACAAAAGAAAGAGCCTCTGTTGTGCCACATTCACTCATTCTCTACTCGTTTTCTGGGGCAAAAGAAGGGTCAAACCCATTTCAATTCCTAAAAGTTCAGAAGTAGAATTGGACATGAAATTGAAAAAGTAAAAAGAAAAAGTGCTGATAAAGAAAATGAAATGGAATTGACCTCCACTCTGAAAGAGCACATGTGGATTTATAAAGGACCTGCAGAAGAAAATATAAAAGAATTAGGGTCAAAAAATTAGATAGAAAAAAATGATTTCAGCTTTTCTACATTGGCAAAAAAAAAAAAAAAAAGGTGTGCAACATGAATGCACTCACATCTGCAAACTGCACACACCTCTGCGTTTGGAAGTGAAACTCATTTATTATGATGTCCCAGTGATGAGGCATACATACAGAGAGAAAAAAGAATAAGTGGATGATGCACTGACATATTGTTTAGCAGCCGATGCCTTCCTTTTAAAAACAACATCAAATGAATTAGTCACAATCTCTAGGGTTATTGTATATCAGTGAAATAAATCATTTGCTACAGTATGCAATAATTGACCATTTGGTTATTGTTGCTATGTAAGTGTTGGCTGATGCAGACACAAGCTGTCTTTGGGGGTTGGGAGGATAGAGTTTGAGGGCGTTGTGGTCTTGTGGTTGTCTGAAGACCCTGATCAGGCAAAATAATGTCAAAGTAAATGCTTTAGTATTGATCTGCTTCTAGTCCCCTCAGTCCATAGCATGCGGTATGATAGTCCGTATGCAGGCTACATGGTAGACAGACAGCAATCCACACCTACTGCAGTCTGGAAAACCCTTCTTAAGGATGGAGACTGAGCCTTGCCTCTGAAATTGTGGGTAATTCATTCCATCTCATGTCAAATGATGTGTAGTATGAGGACTATGTTATGCTCTGCTAGCTCAGTTCCCTTGGGAAGGAACAGAGGTTTGTATCCAATAAGTAACTTTACTGCAGCTATAAAGCCTTCAGTTGCTATATTAGGTAAAAGAAATGCTTGACTCTTTGCTTTAAGTCCATAATAATCTGTAGTTGGCTTTGAGGTAGATGAGCGTCTCCAGGTTCTTTGGTAAGACGCGGCCTCTCTCTGG